CCTGGGAGAGTTTTGTTCTCAGACGGCTTTGTTCCACAATGAAATATTTCCATAGTGTTAGGACATTTGAAAGTGTACCCTGATCTTTTTTGTTTGTTTATGTATTTGAAAGGCAGAGAGAGAGAGAGAAGGAGGGAGGGAGGGAGGGAGGGAGGGAGAAATCTTCCATGCACTGGTTCACTCCCCAGATGGCTGCAATAGTCAGAGCTGGACCAGGCCAGGAGTCTGGATCTCCATCTGGGTCTCCCACGCGGGTGGCAGAGACCCAAGCATTTGAGCCATCTTCTGCTGCCTTCCAGGCAAGTGAGGGAGCTGGGTGAGACTCAGACAAGCACTCTGATATAGGATGTGGGCATCCCAAGAAGTGCCCTAACCATTGCACCAAGCACCCCAACATGGCCTTTGATGGCATTTCTTCAACTCCATTTGGAACATACATGTGCTGGGGTCTGCTGACCAATTATGCCAGGGCCCAGTCTCCATCAGTTTACAAAAACGGTTGGCGCTAAGTTCACCATCCAGCCTATGTGGATCCCCTCAGCTGTGAGATGAGCGTCAAGAATCTGTAAGGTCTGTAAGGTTGGCGCTGGGTGCTAAACAGAATCGGACACTGAAGGCACGGGAGAGGTCAGGCGTCCGTCTCCCTAGCCGCCTTCCCCACCGTTCTCAGCCCCGCCACCTGACTCGGTCCTGTCTGTTGGGGGTCAGAGCCTCCAGGGGACTCTGGTCACTGCTTCAGTCGACCAGGCTGGGCTGATCACGAGACTTTGGGGCGGCAGCACCCTCCCTGTGTGCTGCGCTTTGTGGGAGTGAGGTGAGCATTCCCTGAAGAGCTCAGCCTTTCCTTAGTCCCCAAGAGTCAGGTGGCTCCCCCGGGCCTGAGCTGGATTTCCCCTGCCTAGGATCTTGCCACATGGGAGTGATGTCACCCACGGAGGCCAACAGTGTGGGCAAGAAAGGTGCAGCGGCTCACTCGCACTGCGCATGACACACATCAACTCAACACAGCCCACGAGCCTTTTTATTGATTTATTTATTTATTCATTTTGACAGGCAGAGTTAGTGAGAGAGAGAGAGAGAGAGAGAGAGAGAAAGAAAGATCTTCCTTTTCCATTGGTTCACCCCCAAAGTGGCCTCTACAGCCGGCGCTGCACCGATCAGAAAAGTCAGGAGCCAGGTGCTTCCTCCCAGTCTCCCATGCGGGTGCAGGGCCCCAGCACTAGGGCCATCCTCCACTGCCTTCCCGGGCCACAGCAGAGAGCTGGACTGGAAGAGGAGCAACCAGGACTAGAACCCGGGGTGCCGGCACCACAGGCAGAGGACCAGCCAAGTGAGCTGTGGCACCAGCCCAAAAACCATGAGCCTTTCTGACTGATGACCAAGACGTGAGTCTCCAGAGACCATTATCCAAACCCTGATGCTCATAACTGAACCCAGAATGCTTTCTGGGGCTGGGGGAACGGGGCTCAGGGCTGAATCACTGAACAGTCTCTTGTGACGGAGAGAAATGACAAGCTGAGCCTGTGTTGCCCCCCACCACTCCCCAACATGCAGGGGAGTGGCCGTGGGGTACCGTGACACACAGGGGCTCTCCAGGCCTGCGGAGACCTGATGCTGGAGTTCAGAGTACTAACCTTGAACCCATGAAGCGAAGATTCCACTTCATTCAATTACTGTTGCTAATCTGATGGATCATGAGAGTAAAATGAGTTGAAACTGCCTGTAACCAAGAATCAAAGCCCTTTTCCAATACACTTGCATGCACACACATGTGCACACGTGTACACACGTGCACAGCCCAATGAGAAAAAAGAGGACATGTGGTTCCTCCCACACTGCCACATGTGGACTTCCGTGCTCGCCAAAGTGGTCCAGCCATGTCAGACACCCCCTACATCTGCACACACACATACGTGTGCATGAGCGCACACACACACACACACGTGTGTGTGGCATTAGCAGAAATGGGGAAGCCCTGCTTTTCCCTCCTGCTCCCATCCCCAGCAATCAAAGTGTTTCCTAGAGAGAGGGGCCCAGGCCAGGCCACTTCTCCAGTGTCCCAGAAACGCAGGAACAACATCACCTCTCCTGCATGTCTGCATGACCCCCATGAGCAGCTGATGCGTGTGGATGGGGCCCTGCCTCCTGGCCTGAGGCTGACCACCTGTCTGCTGCGTTTCCCCACGTGCCAGGCGCACCTTGCTTTCCAAGGGCCACAGAAACGGGCTTTGAAGTCCGAGGAAAGCTGCTCTTGACCACCGCATTGCAGGCCCTGGGAGAGCAGCTTCTGGTCTGTGAGGGCACGCTGTCACAGACGGGGAGGCCTGGGGTCCCCAGAGCTCCCGCCCAGGCCCACCGTGAGGATTAAGTGACATCATACACAGAACACAGAGGGGTCTGCAGAGTTCATGGGAAATACATTCTGTGAAAAAACTGTACTTGGGTTTCGAAATTTTTTTTAAAGATTGATTTATTTGAAAGCAGTGAATTACAGAGAGGCAGAAAGAGAGAGAGAGAGAGTGAGTCTTCCATTCACTGGTTCACTCCCCAAATGGCCACAATGGCCAGGGCTGGACCAGGCCAAAGCCAGGAGCCAAGAGCTTCTTTAGGATTTCCCACATAGGTGCCCAAGCACTTGGGCCATCTTCCACTGCTTTTCTAGGCCATTAGCAGAGAGCTGGTTTGGAAGTGGAGCAGCCGAGACTCAAACTGGCACCCATATGTGATGCTGGGACAGAGGCCTAACCTGCTGAGCCACAGTGCCAGCCCCCATGAATGTTTTGAAGCACCCTTGTACAGGGCCTGACACACAGTGGTAATTGCAAGTAAGTGAGGCCTCTCATCCATATTTCAGAGACTGATACTGCTTTAAAATGCACACCTATGTGCTCAAGTAATGACGTATGTGCAGAAAAACATCTGAAAGTGTACACCCCAAGCGATGCGAAGGCATGACCTTTCGCAGGAATTTTACTTCTTTTAATCTCAGAGTTGCTTGTTTTTTACAATATTTGATGGGGGTAAAACACATAAAAAGAAACACCAGACAGTATACACAGAAAAACTAACCCTGGGGCCGGTGTTAAGGCACAGAGGGCTCAGCCGCTGCCTGAGACTGCACCAACGTTCCTTTCCGGAGCTCCAGCTCAAGTCCCAGCTGCACACCTTCTGATCCGGCTCCCTGCTGATGTGTCTGGGAAGGCAGCGGAAGATGGCCCAGGTACCTGGACCCCTCTACCCATGTAGGAGACCCGGATGGAGCTCCTGGCTCTGGCCTGGCTCAGCCCTGGCTATTGCAGGCATTTGGGGAGTGAACCAGTGGATGGAAGACCTCTCTTTTTTTGTCACTCTGCCTTTCAAATAAATAGGAAGGAAGGAAGGGAGGGAGGGGTTAACTGAGAGAGAGAGAAGAAAGGAAAGGAGAGAAAGGAAGGAAAAAGAAAAGGAAAGAAAAATTAACCCTGATGGAAACAAGCCAAAATGTTTGGGGCAATTGCCCAATGGAGTTTTTCCTGTTTTTTGTTTTTTTTTTGTTTTTTTTTTTTTTAATTGCTCTGCTTGTATTAATTTTGTTTCTTGGAATTCTTAGCACAAACACGGTCTCCTTGTAAAGTTCATACACTACAGACACAGGTTCTTCCCACTTTACCTCCCACAGGTCATCTGTGTCGCTGCTCTAGCGTCTGCCCTTCTGTGTCATGGATGTGCACGTGGCTTCTGAATATATTCATACACATGAGGTCTTACTCCATTCTTGCTGGTGCCGCAGGCTCCCCCGGACTGAGTGGCTTACTAACAACAGGCGCCTGCTTCCCATCACCGCGGAGCTGACAGTACGAGACCAAGGCACCAGCAGGCTCCGAGATGACTGCCGAGCCAGGTCCTCGCAGCCACCGTCCTCCCGCCCAGAGGGACCTCGCGTGGGGTCTCTCTGGGATTTGTTTAATCGGGGTACTGATCCCACCCACGGGGGCTCTGCTGCTGTGTCCTGCCTGCCTCCCACCAGCACACTGGGATTTGTGGTGCACATAAACATTCACACTACAGCAACATGACACAGACATGACCCTCACATCCGTAATTACTCAGAGAGATGTATATGAAATCATTTGTGCTTTTTAAACAGATGCCAACACATTTTGATTCCCTTGATAATTCCACCTATCAAAATGTCTCAAAGCCCATTCCATGTCAGCAAACAATAAGGTGTCCTTCAGTGTTCTAGGTTAAGGAGGAATCCAGAAATAAAGGGACTTCAAAAATTCCATGAGAAATGGAATTAAAACACAAGTTCTGGCCATTACAGCCATTTGGGGAGTGAACCAGCGGATGGAAGACCTCTCTCTCTATCTCTGCCTTTCAAATAAATAAATAAATCTTGTAAAAAAATAAACACAGAATCAACAATGTTTAAAAAACTTTAGTTTATCTTGGTGCAAAAAAACATTGTAGCCCATGCATACAAGGAGTTTAAAAAAAAAAAAACCGTCGAAAATGTACAGCATGAAAAACTTATCCGTGAACTTTCTGCCCTGAAGTAAATTTATCTTCTCAGTCTATTTTTCCACAAACTGCACCTCTTTCTCTTCTGCGTTCACTAGGTCATCTGTGTATTCAGCACTTAGCTTAATGACTGAAACAATGAATAAATCAATAGAATTCCTGATTTCGAGGCGACTCTATTAAATGTTGCAACAAAGCAAAACATCTTTTGCTCAGGGTGATCAGACTTTCCAACTTGATTTAAAAAAAAAAAAAAATGGATCTCTCAAGTCAGACTCCACCACGATGAAGCCACTTTGCCCTCCTGGCAGCTGGTAGGGATGCGGGGAGCGGTTCTGGAGTCATTCAACACCCCCAGGAGTTCCGATGGACGCGCGGGGGCCCTGGTGGGGACGCTGGTGTCGGCATCAGCCCCGCTATTTAAAGACCCTCTCGCCCAGATGCACACCTGCTCTCCACGAACAACTTTCTTCTTTATGTACAAACATCCTGCTACCTTGCCTCCAAAACAATGAGTCTGGCTTTATTAGTTTACTCCTGAAGTCAGGAACACAGCTGGGGTTGGGGAGAGACGGATGGGGGGAAGGGGGAAAGGAGAGGAGAGAGTGGTGGGGGGACACTGGCAAGGCTCTTTGTGTAGGCTGAGATGACAGAAAAAGAAACCCTCTTCCATCAGAAAACCTGCCTAATTTCACATCCAGTGGTGCGTACTGCACATTCCCTGAACTAAAAGATGGCCCCCCAGTCGTCCAAAATATAAAGACAGTCATAACTGTCCCAATCAGAAGCTACAGGAAAAATACAAAATGAACAGCCTGACCTTAGTCTTACATTCTTTTTAAAAAGCCCAACAGGCAAGTCATCAAAACAATTCCTAATTATAGAAAACTGCATTTTAAAAATCAATATTCCATGATGGCTTTTGAATAACAATTCCTTCCACTTTGAGGAAATCAGATTGTTTTTTCTCATACTATGTTGTTGTTTTACAAGAGGAAATAGAGGTGGAGGGGGCAGGAAAGATGAGATCTGCAGAGAGAAATCATCAGATTTTCCCTCAAATGGCAGAGCCTGAGATTAATGTTTTAAGATTTGTCAATTTCCAAAACTCACTGGTGGAATAAAGAGCTTAATACACGTTTGCAAAAAAGGAGGCCCAGAGATGTCTTCACCAGGCTGAAACGGGATTAGCTTTGTACTTCTCATAATCTTCTCCGCAGAAGAATGCGACTTCTGTCTCACTGGCTGAAAAAGAAAAAGCGAAAATGGGAAAAAGGTTTTTATGTAAAACTAAGTTTTAGACAAGTCTGGAGATCCTCAAACACTTTGGCTCCATGTTTGAGAAGAGTTTCGGATGCCTACAGTGGAAAATATGAATAAACATTAATTCTTTCTGTTATCAGATCAGCAGGAAGTTAAGGGGGCAGTCTTAAGAATCTCAAACTCAAGCGCTGTGGTGCAGTGGGCTAAGCCTCCGTCTGCAGCACCAGCATCCCATACGGGCACTGGTTCGTGTCCCAGCTGCTCCTCTTCCGATCCAGCTCTCTGCTATGGCCTGGGAAAGCAGTAGAAGATGGCCCAAGCACTAGAGCCCCTGCACCCACATGGGAGACCCGGAAGAAGCTCCTGGCTCCTGGCTCCGGATCAGCCCAGCTCCAGCCATTGTGGCCATTTGGGGAGTGAATCAGTGGATGGAAGACCTCTCTCTCTCTCTCTGTTTCTCCCTCTCTTCTCTCTCTCTGTATAATTCTGCCTCTCAAATAGGTAGAATCTCAAAAAAAAAAAAATCTCAAATTTGAAAGTTCATGGAAAATGTGACTTGTCCTGGAATGGTCTGAAGCCCCTTAGTAGACCAGTCTGGGTCTGAAGGATTTCCCAGGGCTAGCTCCCTTCTCACACAGCAAAGTGGTCTTCAGAAGGAAGTGATTCCTTGAAAGAAACACTTTCAATAAAAGAACATTTCCCTGGCTTTCCATTAGCAAAACAACAACAAAATTAACCAAATCTTGCAACATTATTTGAAATTTTCTTCTTGTAAATTATGTTTGTCAGTTAAGTGGAACACCTGTAAGACGCACACACAACAACGGCTGCCATTTTTGTATACAGCCGTCTGCATTAGGAGACAGAACTAAGCACCCAGAAGGGAGGAGCAGTGCTACCATGTACGCTAGGTTGGGTTTTGCTTCACTGAGAGTCATTTTCCTGGATTATTTTCAAAAGTTACAGAAACTGTACATCTTAAAATTTATAATCAGCTCCAAACAGAGTATGTCACAATGAGTAGCTAGACAGCCACGTGTGAGGTCAGTCATTTTGCGAGACGGATGTGATCCAAAAGGCTGAAGTGTCTGCTTGCCGATAAAGAATGTTTTCATGGGAAAAAAAAAAAAAAAAAAACACCTCAGACTCAACTCAATTAAAAGGAAAGAGGACACACCACCACCTCCAAATTAAATTCAAGAGTGAACACGAGAACCTGGTTTTCATGAAATCATCAAATTGCCCCTTTATTGTCCAGGAAAATAACAAACCTTGATTTTGTTTTTCTTTTGAAATCTGTTACTCAGTTACTAAAGGAGGTGGCTGCTCCCCTTGCCCCGCGAAATTAGCCTGTAGGTATAATAATTTAATACTTCGAGGATCAGTGGAATATTTTACAGATCACTTTACATTCTCCCGCGTGACCCATCAAAATATGTGTCTGAAGAAGTTAATTTTTTGCTCTGCTGATGACTAATTCATGAGGCTTCGGCAATATGCAAAGTGAAAGATACAAATTGGCTTCCACCTCAGCACCTTCAAATACCTCTAATTATCCACAGGGGACGCGGCCCGGCGAGGGGGCCCGCAAAGGTTCAGAGCAGTCACAATTCTTCCAACCTAGCAGGTCAAGGACTCCGTCTTCTAAAACAGTAAGTCAGCGCCATTATTAATTCAGGCTGGGGACGGATCTGATGGAGAGCCTTCCAATTATTAAACATGCAGTTCTTTAAGGTGTTGTGCCAACAAGTTCCACACTGGTTTCTTAAATTAAACCAGAAGTTAATACAGTCTGCCTGGCTTTTACAGAAAGAGCAAAGGGGCCTGCAGAGTCTCGGCGAGAAAACAGACGAGATTATTTGTAATGAATACTGAGTGCTCGATTAACATAGACTCTAAGAGCGGACCAGTGAAACTCTTCAAGCCCAGTAAATAGGATAACAGAAAGGGGGCCCAGGCTTACCAGAGGTTTGTTCCTTTGCCACTATCATCTCACCATTAGAACTTAGCACAGAGGAGCGAAATTAAGGAGATTAGCAGGATATTTCATTAGAAGTGGTTTTTGCTGTTTTGGGGGAATATGAAATTTAATATCACTCCGGCGTAAGCCACCCGTGCTCATTACAGAAAACAAACAAACGCTGAGAGAAGAAAATACAATCAACCGGCGTCTCAGAGCCTCATCCCAGCTCCACTACATCGGTGAGATTAAATTTAATCACAGTCGATGAAATCGGATTGCAAGCTCTCATCAGCACGAGCCTGGGGGCATCCGAGGGGAGGGGCTGTGCACACCGCACACCGCACCAGGCAAGCAGTTACTGTATCGCTCCCTGCTTCGGGAAAACAGCATCTCAAAGAACAGCCAGGAGGCATCCCGCTTGGAATCAGTAACATGTGAAGAAAGGGGCTTTGGCAAACTCCACATTCAAAGCTAAGATCCTTGGCCACGTAGCCTTTCTACAAAATCTCCCGCGGTTTTCCTTTGGAGAAGGGAAGTCCACCCAGGGACAGACCTCGATGATCAAACTTCTCATGGCCAAGGAGCAAAAGGCACCCACTTCTTAATCGGTGCGGCGCCAGGCTCCGGCGGCCAGGTGCTATTTACACACCGCCCACCACACACCGTGGCTGCCCACACAGCACGTTGCGGGGCCGCGCCAGGCGCGATTACGCTGTTCGCTTACTGCACTTGACATTTGCGTGCTTCCCTTTGGAGAAACTGAGCAGCTTCCCGGGCCGGGGGGCGCAGGCTCAGGATGCGGTGATGGCAAGCAAGCACTGGCAAGGCAGCTTTGTTTTGACGCCGACGTCCTCTTGGGTCTCGTTTACTTACAGAGCCGTCCGTTCTATGTATCAAGTATTTATGCCATCTCTCATAAAACAGGCTCAGAATGAGATCATCTAGGGCCCAGATATTATCGTTAGACGATCGCCTTTTTTTTTTTTTTTTTTTTTTTTTTTTGCAGGAAAACTAGACTGACAAATGGGTTAAACACGAATATTTCTGGTTGGTGAAAATAGTTCTCACCCTAAACAAATTTAAAATCATGCAAATTAAAAGTTGCTATGAACATCCAAAAGTGAAACATACAATGGATTTCAAACTTCGGTGCTGCCCTCCAAGAGAGGTAGAATCTCATGTTTGTAAAAACCTGTAAAACTGTCGAAAACATCTGAGAGAAAGATTTCGTGGACTTTCATATTGCAAATCGATTTGCTGATTTTTAAAGATTTTACTTTTAGTTGACACATAACTGTCCAAATTTATGGCGCACAAGGTGATATTTCAATACATGAATACAATGCATGATTATCACACGGGGTAATCGGCATATCCATCACCTCAAGTATTTATCATTGCTGTGTACTGAGAACATTCAAAATCCTCTCTACAAGCTTTTATTGATTTGCCAATTTGAGTGAAAACAAATTGCAAATGATTTTCCAGATCTCAACATAATCATTTTTTCCACTATTAGTCCTTAAATGCCTGCTTTCCAAATTCTATTTAAAATGGTTCCTTTAAAAATGGCTCAGGAAGAACCCTGAGGAAGTCTACAGTGTGCTGGTCCCCTAGGGCACCTGATTTTAAATTAAATGTGCTGCAGGCGGCCGTGCAGTCAGGTGCAGAGTGCCTTGGCATGGGAATCGGAAATGAATGTGCAATCTAAAATCCAATAAATGCATTGCCACTTCATCCCTTCGTCTTCCTATCAAATGGAATCAAGTTAAGAACCCTCCAAATACATTTGTGGATCATTTTAATATTGATGCTCAAGATAAATGAAATGAACATGAGCCAGGACATCCGAACTTTGGATATAAAACTGTGCAATGCTACCAAACGGGATGGACACACACATACACCTTTAACCAGAAAATAATTATGACGCCTTTAAATAAAACATGAGAAATCAATTTTAAGTGTGAAATCCCAAGAAATAAATAAAGACAACGTGTTTAAATCCCTCAGCTGACCCATCTGAATAAACTCATCTGACCACGAGGGCTTGTGTGCATTTCCTCAGCTCCCAGTGTCTTGCTGGTGGGAATCAAGGTAGGACAAGGCGCAAGCCCTGAGGACAGTGACACAGCACAGAGGCTGTGGCACAGGTCATCCACCATCAGGGGACCCAGCAAGTGACAGGTGCAGACTGCTGACAAACAACAGACACCAAGGGCCCAGAAGGGATTTATGTGACAACCACAGACCAAAAGCACAAAATCACACCCTTTCCCCTGCTCTGGGAATACATCCTGTCCTTCCAAGTTTCACAAAATCCCAATCTATGCATCTTTCAGAGCTGTGCTCACGACTGTGCTGTGCTTCCAAGTGTTCAACACGGGAGGCCCGCCCACAATCCAGGAAGAGCACCCCACCACGGAGCCAGCTTCCCAGGGCACAAAGCTTCGCCCATCTGCTTTGGATCAGCTGGCAGAGTCTGAGGAACACAAATCCTAAGAAAAGCTGACCTCTGAGAGACTAGGCACGTGCCTGTGACTTCCACAATGATGGGGGGAGGGCAGAAAGGAAAGGAGCATCTTTAGGGGTGCACCCTGACACCCTGTTCTGGAATTACTGCATTTCCCAGCACGCCACCCCCACTGCTGGGTACCAGACCGTGTCTGTGTTATGATGGTACCTTGAAGAGCAGCCGCAGTAACGCTCGAAGGAAGAACACGTGTGCCCTCCAGATCTTACTACCCAACACAAGCATGGGAATGGAACACAAATAACAGAAGACCCCAGGGAGGATGCGGGATCCCAAAGAACCCTACACTATTGGCTGTGCCAATGAGACAGGCAGAAGGCGCGAGGTGCATGATGGGGTTCTGGCTGGGGGCAGATGACAGAAGCAACACACAAACTGAAAACAAACCCCACGGGAGCTCGGGGATTATTACAGGGCCCAGCTACAGGGGCACGCACAGCCTGGCCCACTGTACCTTGTTTGCAAACAGAGCCCACCAAACGCAGC